GGAGCATGTAGTTAACCTAAATTTTGCCTTGGTAACATTGGCTCCCTGTTTACACATTTATCCTCCCATATTGTCACTTCCGACGTTTTTTCCCTGTTCTTTTTGCTGACCATAGCGTTTGAACTTCTCATGTTATTGATTAGCCACTAGGCCACATCTTATGACCTCTTGTTTATATCGATTTTTCTGTATTAATTTAAAGTGTATTTTCTCTTATGTGATTCCCGTTAAACAATGAGAGGCAGCAACCGAAAAGCTCTCTCGAAATGATATGGATCCAATAAATCATCTCGCTATTATTGCTATTTTTAAATGAAAGCTTCTTATACTGACCTAAAAAAATGCCTCAGAGCCGTGAGCGCGTTTGAAGCCCGGGTGGATTAGACGTAGTTTTCGTCGATTTTGGAACATTCATAATTGGGCAAGACAAACGTCATTTGACCGTTGGAAATAGCATACTCAGACTCGGGGTAATGCCTAGTCTTATAAGATCGCTACAGCTGAGGATGGTAATCCAAAAAAATGTCGGACAGGAACGCTCAACGTAATGTCTATCGCAAGAAGACTTAGTTCGGGCAATATACACATTATGGGAAAATTAGTAAGTAGGATGTTTTACATAGAGAGAGCGAAAGGATTTGCTGAACCGATAGCATCGACGAAGAGCTTAAGAGTGAAGTAAGCATTTTTGTTCGATTTACTCCTAAGAACACCACTAAAAGACGAAGTCCTTGATGTTAACAACAGAGAAGAAACCAACTTTCGTCTGCAGCCCATTTCAATGGGACGCGCCAAGTGACCTCCCAAGATGGCGCGTGTCTTAAGTTGTAGCAAACAGCCTCCTAGCAGCCGACAACAATATACTGTTCTCGACAACTCCCATCCTATAGGTAGGGATTAAGTACGAACTGCCCACCCAGAGCACCTCTATGTGCATATATTCATTTACCCGCTCCTGTAGGGCAGTATATATTGGTCGCACGAACCGACGTTTGCCCAAAAAGAGTACGGAAACATTTTTCAAAATGATTGGGGAAGGACCAAATAAACAACATTAAAGTTTAACTCCTAGCGCATATGGTGGACCCTGATCCCCGTAAGCCAGAATGCTTTTCCGGGTGATCTGCAAGGTGCCCTCAGGCTATTCAATATTCTTTGGACAGCGCCTGTTGGCTACGGCAGAAGTGCCTGTCAGTAGGTTACGCAGGCCAGACCTGTGTGTCCGAAAAAAGAACCTCATAAAGACGCCGCCGTTTCCATGGCCGTAAATCGTCAATTCAGCCGCCAGCAGCTTATTACATTTCCTGGCGCCCAGTTCCTCCTAGACGTTGATCAGAATGAAACATTGTTTTCCCGGAAGAAATTTGAACAAGGTGAAGATCACGAGTTGAGCAGAATTTAATGACGTCATGAAATTTCGTGACCTCTCAATCAGCTGCAAACGGTCGTTGTTTATTAATAAGAGAATTAACTGTCCAATAAAGTGTTAGCGCACGCAAAGGCAGTTGGCAATGCGGTCAGCTGAACACATGCAGAAGTGCTTGTTCAGGGCGGAAAT